GGGGGTCCCAGGGGGGGTTTACATTCACAAGGTGGGGGGACAGCAACACCATGGATTTGGGGAGGGAGGAAACGGAATGTACCCTTAACTCTGCCCCCCCCCCCCCCGCCCGGGCCCACCCCCCCCCGCCCAGGGGGGGCAGTGGGATGACAGGGGGGTCCCGCAGCCGCACAAAGGGGCACCCACAGGTGGCGAGGGCAGGTTTGGGCCCCCCAATAACACAGAGGGGAGGGAACCCACTGCCAGGCAAAAGGCCTTAAAGTGCACGGGGGGTGTTGGGGGGGGGGGGCAGGGCCCGGCAGGGGGGGGGGCCCCCCCGTGCCCCCCCCCCACCCTAACCACTGAGGGGGTGCAGGTCGACCTTGACCTTCTCGCCGCTGCTGAGCATCCCGACGGTGGGGAAGTACCCCCCCGGCGGCACCACCGCCTCCTTCTTGCCAATGATCTTCCCGTTGCGGGTGAAGAACACCTGGGGGGGGCACATGCAGATGGGGGGGGGGACATTGGGGGCTGTCAGGGCATTCCCCCCACCCCCAAATCCATGGAGGGGAAGGGGTTGATGCCCCCAGCCCGGCGTGGATGGACGCCAAGAGGAGCCACTGCAAAAAGGACCCCAATACCGGGTGTGAGGGGGGCTCAATCCTGCCCCCCCCGGGGGGGTGCTGCGCTCTTACCACCACCTTCTTGCCCTCGTGCTCCTGCTCCATCTCCTCGCCGTCGTCTTCCTCCTCCTCCTCTTCCTCCTCCTGATGCAGGTACATCACGTTCCTGACAGGTTTGGGCTTCACCTCCGCAGTGTCGCAGGTGTCGTCGCTGTCACCTGGGCACGGGGCGGGGGGGACACACACGATGGTGGTTCTGCCATGCCCCCCCCCCTCCACGGGATGTTCAGCCCCACGGGGGGGGGCCCTGGCTCCCCCCAGCCGGTACCTTCACTGTCCAAGATGTAGTCGCGGGGGAACATGATGCCGCAGCCCATGATGTCGCCCTTGTAGCAGCGGGGGCCAAAGGGGTCCCCCACCCCGCTGCCGTGGAAGATCTTCCCATCGTCTGGGGGGGGGGGGGGGGAAGGAGTCACAGGAACCCCCCCGTAGCGCTGGGACCCCTCCCCACTGCCACCCCATGGGGCTGCACCCCACCAAGAGGGGGTGATGGGGGACAAACCAGTGGGAAGGAAAGTGCTGCCAGGAGGA